TGCAGACTTTCTTACGAAGAGTTTGTCGAAGGATGCTTTCGAGTCTCACCGTGATTTTGTGATGAATTTGGCATGAACATTTTATTGTTTTTCTGATGGATTGTGTTTTGGTCTTGTTCTGTTTCCCGTTTTGTTTCATTTCCCGCGCCAAGTATTTGTTAAGCGCGATGCAGCATTCATATTTCATTGAATTGCTTTTCCCTCTTATATTATTCTGGTCAAGTCCTCATGGTATATATTCTGGGAAAGACGTCTTTTGGTTGAGATGTCGGGTGTTAGCGAAGTTTTCAGTGAGAAACTGTTGCGAGCAGGGGGGATGTTAGATATACTCGCACCAGTATCTGGTCGTGAGGATCCCAGGGGGACACGTGTTGGGAATTTCGTGTGTTGAAGGGTACCACCGACGCAGTCACGGGGACCCTTTGGGCGTGGTCGGTGCGATGATGGGGAAGGCTTGCGTGCGTGCTGAGCACTTCCTCTTCTTTTTCCCTCTCTCTCCACCACCACCACCGTCTCTCTCCACTCAAGTTTCCTTCTCCCACTCTCTCTCCAACTCTCTCTCACCCTCTCTCTCTCGGCCTAACACGGCCGACTACCCAGTGCCCCAAAGCAATGTCCAGAACGTGCTTGCTACACCCCGCGTAGTTTACCTTTCATTGCTGAAACCATGGTTGCTATTCAACTGCGTGAACACAATCAGGGTTTGGCCACCCTAGAAAATATCTGAACGGAGCAAATTTTCTTCCGTCAGAATCATGCAGCAGGAGATAAAGCATGGACTGTATATAGGTTGACTCTCAAGACAAGCACCGCAGGAGGGTGTGAATCCTCGACTCTTGTAAGGTACAAGAGGCCTCCGTGAGCAACGGTCGTGGGTATTGACGATGCGTAGAAAGCACCGGACAGACAAAGGTTGACAGAGTTGGATCTCGGGTGAGAGCCGAAGGGACAAGGATAGAAGTGACAGAGGGGTGCGAGCAGAGCGAGGGCACCGCCATCGGATAAGCCGACGTGGCGGGGACTGAGCTGGCACGCTGAGCTGGCACGCTGAGCTGGCAGGCTGACGTAGGCCAGCAGCCAGGAAGACACCGCCGTAGCGGGGACGAAATAGGCCGCACGAGATGGCGTGCGGCGTATCTCTCTCTCGCGCATACAAACTGATGCGATGCAAAAGTGTGCAGCGCGGACGAAAAGTTCTACCGCGTAGTGTGTAGGTTCTAGATGCTGTGGCCTGCAGGACAACAATTAGTTCGAGGGCGCATGCGGCGAAATGACGCTGTGCGGTGGACAGAGTGATCGATTGTAATATTGGAGATCCTGGGTGTGCTAAAGCAACGTGGACGCATCGTGGCCAGACAGTATTGATGCGAGCCAGGAGCACGGACAGACAAAAGACAGAGAAAGTAATGGCTTACAAGTTTGATAACGGCACAGTTTCCAACACAGATCATGAATGAAACAGGAGAGTCAGCTCGAGGTTTGTCGCTTTTCTGGGGATTGGAAAACTAACCCGCACCAGAAAAAATGCACACAGCGACAACCATGTCTCGAATCCTTCAACCGACCCTCTGGAGGGCATTACAGCGAGGAGAGACGAGGGCGTGTGGTACCCATGAAACCCGTGGAAAGATACGGTGTTCGTCGTGTATGATTATCACTTTTCTCGAAGAATCGTCCGTGGAATCAACCCCCCTGTGGCGGAAAGTCACTGCCACTCTCAAGACGCCACAAGTAGTCAAAATCTCGTGTACTACTCAACGAGTGGGAAGGACCAGACACGATACACCTAGGGACAGAAAAAACCAAACCACGATGATCCATGGACACACGACGCTAACTCCTGGAAACACGACAAGGTTCCCAGCCTAAAGACGTGCTTATACGATCGTAGGGCGTGCCTGTTAGGAAAAGGACAGCCCCGAGGTGCGTGTGCGCGGTACGACGCACGATCAACGCAAAGGAACACCAATGAATACAGACGACAGAAGACAGACAGCCATGAAAGAGGCGTACAAAAGTAGCCACGAAAAAATACTGCCGGCTACAGTACATACTGACAGACACGCGGGCGCCGGGCTTCGGTCGTTGCAAAAACCGAGGCAGACATACACTGGACACAACAGATAACACGCGACACAACTGCCCTTACGTGTTCCGACGGCGAGACGAACGGCGCCGTGACTTCTTGCGTGGCGGGTCGAATGCCGAGGGATGTTCAGACATGACTACAGCTCGATAGGAATCGATCATTTCCCGACATTGTGGGAGGGTGCTGTAGTGACGCCAAACTCCACACTGTGGAGGCTGGCCTTGCAGTTTGAGGTGGTATTGGAAATTATCCACCGACGCTTTGCCCACCCCCCGTTTATGACCGTCGATGGCTTCGACGACATACGGGCTGATCGTGACGGTGTGCATAGACCCATCCAGATCAGGGACAGGAAGGGCTGTTCCGAGGAACATGTCGTCTAGAGCCTCAAAATCGGGGACAGGGGACGACGTAGGTTGGACAAATGGTTTCATTCGACCCAAGTGGACGGTGACTTCTGCGGGGTCGTTGGGTTTTGAAACACGATAAATGACAGGAGAGATTTGAGATCTGACAGTGTATGGCCCGTGCCAAGGACTAACGAGCTTGGGGTTGGGGCCATCAGTTTCGTTGTACGGGCGGTGGAGCAAAACCTGGTCGCCCATTTTGAAACTAGGGAAGGACAATTTCTCGTTGTCGACAGCTTGCTTATCCGTGCGTTCTTTGAGATTGCGACGGGCCAACTCGTAAGCGAGTTGCAGATTCTCTACGGTGCGACGCGAGTAGTCAAGACGACTCTGCAGAGCATCGGTAGTGGGAACTCCGAGAATAAGTTCGCCAGGCAGGGTAGGGGCACGGCCAAAGACGAGATAATGGGGTGTTTCCTCCAATGTCTTGGGATAGGCTGTGTTGTGTGCAAGCTGGACAAAAGGCAACAGTTCTGACCAATTATCACAAGCCAGGTTGCTATACATGGCAAGCATACTGTGGACGGTGCTGTGGACACGTTCGAGAACAGAATTCCCTTGCGGACGGTACGCGGCCGTGCGGGTTTTCTTGTACCCAAAGACAGTTTGCAATTCTTTCACGAGTTGGTTTTCAAATTCTCTTCCTTGATCAGAATGCAAAGTTTCCGGCGGACCAAACACCGAGAAGACACGGTCAATGAGATGACGGACCACTACGGTAGCCTCCTTGGACGGAATGGGTATGAGAACGAGGAAGCGTGTGAGATGGTCGATGACAGACAAGATAAATCGGTTACCCTCCGACTGTGATTTGTATTCGACAAGATCAACAGCCACAACCTGGAAAGGGTTGGTGACCGGTCGGTGCCCTGTTGGCAGGGTGGGTGGCCGATGCGACGTTTTGCGGTGTTGACAAGAGAGACAGCTTTCGACGTGGTCTTTGATGTCTTTGTGCATTGTAGGCCACCAATAACGATCGCGGACTTTGTCGAAAGTACCTTTAAAGGCTAGATGGCCTCCCGACGCCGGGAGGTCATGACATGCATTTATGACAAGTTTCCGCAAAGAGTTGGGCACTACCAGTTGGTCACGAAAAGTGCCTCGCCTACGCAAGTGGGCAGGGACATAAGAGCGGCATAGGAGACCTTCGTGGATGAAAAATTTACTCATGCTGGAATTAGACTGGTGGAGTGGTACCCGAGCCTTGGTGGGGTTTTCCAAGTTATCGAAATACTGGTGGAACTCTTTCTTTTGATGATCGAGCAACTTGGCAGTATCGACAACAGGGAAAACAGACGTAGCGCTAGAGAACAACTCACGGTCGCTTTCGACGGGGACAATGTCGTCTAAATTGCTAGCGGACACTTCGTATTCACGAGGGGCAGGAGGGCGGAATGGTTGGTCATCGGGGACATTGCGACAGATAGCGGCGAGCCGAGGCTCGGACGGGAGAGGTTTGCCGTCGATTTCGCTGAACATGCGGGACAGGGTGCCCGGGACTACATTAAGTTTCCCCGGAACGTGCTTGACGGTGAAATCGAAATTTTGCAGACANAAACATTGCGACAGATAGCGGCGAGCCGAGGCTCGGACGGGAGAGGTTTGCCGTCGATTTCGCTGAAAATGCGGGACAGGGTGTCCGGGACTACGTTAAGTTTCCCCGGAACGTGCTTGACGGTGAAATCGAAATTTTGCAGACAGATGGCCCAACGAGTAAGCATATTAGACGTATCTTGCATATGATACAGGTACGTCAGCGCTTGGTGGTCGGTGTGACAAGTGATTTGCCGGCCCCAAAGGTATGGGCGCCAGTGGGTCAGGGCCCAGACAACCGCCGTACACTCCTTCATAGTGGGACTATAGTGACGTTGGCCTGCTTTAAAGCGTTTGCTGTAGTAGGCGACAATATCTACCACCTTGTCGTCGGTGCTATCTTTGGACGGTTGGGCTGGGAAGGCACCTACACCAAGCTCAGAAGCGTCAGTGTGCACGACAAATTCTCTCGAAAAATCGGGAAAGTGGAGGACAGGGGCCGAAGACAAAGCATCTTTGAGTTGCTGGAAGGCGGCATCTTGGTCCGGCCCCCATGCTTCTCGAAATTTGCGGGGTTTGACGAAATCCTTGCGAGTCAGATCAACTAGCGGTGCAGTGAGGTCAGCGTAATTTTTGACAAAGCGACGGACAAAATTTGCCATGCCGAGGATGGAACGGAGGTCCTTGATACATTTCGGCGTGGACAAGTCGCGGATGGCATCAATGCGGTCGGTACTGACGGAAATACCTTTCGCAGAAATGACATGACCAAGATAATCGACTTCTTTACGACCAAATTGGATTTTGGACGGCTTGAGAGTCAGACCTGCTGCCTGCAATGCTGCGAACATTTTCTCGATGGAGACAAGATGGGTCTTAAATGTGCGATTGATACAGATCAGATCGTCCATGTACGAGAGGACACCGGAGTCGGGACCAAGGTGGCCCAGAGCAATAGACATTACGTGTTGAAACAGCCATGGCGCATTCGCTACCCCGAACGGCATACGCTTGAAACAGTACTTGCCGTTATGAGTCACGAAGGCGGTCCGGTCGACATGCTCCTCAGCCACAGGAATCTGCCAGAAAGCGCTGAGGATGTCCGCCACAGTGATGTAGAGGGCGTCCCCGACGGCAACTAGGCACGACTCAAGGTTGGGCAAGGGCGAAGTCTTGCGAATGATGTTGCGGTTGAGGGTGTGGCGGTAATCAACACAGAATCGAGGGCTGCCGTTGCTTTTGCGACAATGGTACAAGGGCTCCCCCATGGACTGGGCCGTTTCTCGATAATACCCCACTCTAGCATATCTTCAACACATTTATCGATGACAGCTGAGGTACGGGGGTTGGGGCGATACGGCGGACGGTCGACGGGGCGGGTGCCAGGTGGCACGGGGAACGTTGCCTCGGCGATCGTACAACGACCGAGTTCGGACATGGACAGAGAGAAAACGGGACGATATTTCGCGCACAAGTCTAAGACAGATTCCTTTTGTTCAGAGGTGAACGTGGATCCGGAAAAGGCTTTGGACAAAGCACCTTCAAGATCAGACCTAGCGCGGCGGACTTCCTCGTCGGTGACGGGGGTGTTCGCGACAGCATTGACACGTACTTCATCAGGGGTGACTACAGAGACAGTAGACAAATGGCCAAGACATAATTTCTGGGGGAGTGACACTCCATCAGGGGAAGGGTTGGCGAGTTGGACAACGACAGAGCCGTCAGAGGCATGCCAAGTGGCAAGGGTTCGAGCGACAATAATATTTTTGAAGGGCTCGAGTGTGCGGTCTGCAGCTAAATCCGCTTCAGTGACAATACGGGGTTCTACCACGACGGTACAATCTTCGGGTGGCAGACAATTGGTGAAGACAACAGCAAGACCTTCCTCTTTGGGTTTGAGGACGACCTTTTCACACAAAATGACAGGAA